TGACCCGCGGTGCGCTTGCGGCATTCTGAAAAGTTGAAATGTGTTTATCTCGATGCGGCGTGGACGCGCCTGGAAAAAATGAGCGCGTCGCACCACGTGCACGTCGCTTCCATTATGAGCGCGCCTGCCGCGCGTCTACATTTGAAATAACGAACTTGATATTACAACATAAGATTGAATAATATGCATTATATTACTTGTTCAAGCTCTTGTTCTGTCCAGGCTGGACTATTGCAATGCTCTCTTGGCAGGTCTTCCAGCCAGTTCTATCAAACCTTTACAATTAATCCAGAATGCGACAGCAAGATTAATTTTTAATGAGCCGAAAAGCACTGGCTACCAGTAGCTGCTCGCATTAAATTCGAGGCATTAATGTTTGCCTACAAAACCACCACTGTCTCTGCACCCCTTTACCTAAATTCATTACTTCAGACTTATGTGCCCTCTAGAAGCTTGCATTCTGCAAGTGAACGACGCATTATTGTTCATCTCAAAGAGGCACAAAATCACTTTCACTGACTTTTACATTAACTGTTCCCTCCTGGTGGAATGACCTGCCCAACTCAATCCGAGCGTGTCCTTAGCCATCTTCAAGAATCGGCTAAAACCACATCTCTTCCATCTTTATTTGACCCTCTAACTCTAGCACTCTCTATTCTAATTCTATTCTAAAAAAAAAAAAAACTAACTCTTGCTTTCTAATCTTTTTGTATTCTATCTGTTTTCTTTTCATTTATTATACAATTAACAAAAGCAAAATGATCTCTAACACTAGCTTGCTCTATTCTTTTTCTATTATATCTGTTTTCTTTTTATTTATTATATTATTTAAAAAAAACCTTGCTACGTGTACTGCGTTAAGCTAACTGAGACTTGTTATAGCACTTGTATATCATTGCTCTTTTGTTGATTTTGATTGCTTCCATTGTCCTCATTTGTAAGTCGCTTTGGATAAAAGCGTCTGCTAAATGACTAAATGTAAATGTAAATGACAAGGTATTAAATGTGGGATACGAGTTGTTCAAAACAAAACAAAACAAAACAACAAAACAAAACAAAACAAAAAACAAAACAAATGAGCACAAAAAAATGAAAACCAAAAAACACAACACAACAAAACAAAAACAAAAACAAACAAAACTGAAAACAAAAATAAATAAAAAAAACAGAAGACAAAACCAAAAATCAATACAACAAAAAACAACACAACAAATCAAATCAAAACAAAATCAAAAACAAGACAAAATCAAAACAAAAATCAAAAAAAAAAAAACAAAAAAAAAAAAAAAAAAAAAAATTTAATTACTGTACAGACTGGAACAGAACTTCTGCTCTAGCTTTGGTACTTTTCTGCTTGTTTTGCCTAATTTTGTAAGTTTAACAAAAGTTGTGTATAAGTGCTTTAATTATGTTAAGACATGCAGCCAACAACATCAGCTGGATCTCATCAGCTGATCTGAAAGCTGCTCAACTAGCCTCAAAACTAGTCCTCATACCTGGATGGAGATTGCACTGATGTGGCGACCGTTGGCATAGCAGTGGCTGCCAGCATCTTGGTTGCCCGGGTAACAGCATGTGTGAGGGTCGGGCCGCCCAGCGCAGAGCTAGCAGCCTGTGTGTGATGTAGGGATGAGCTTTATCACAATCATCATCACAAAGAAAAAAAAAAAGTGTCATTTCGCACTGTAACACTCACCTCCAATCTCTTATAGCAGTCAGCAATGAATTTCTTATGTAGAGATACTGAGTCCTATAAAAAATACACAAAGAAACAAAGAAAATTTTAATTAACAGAGAAATTATATATAAACTGGAATGGCAAGTCTCACAAAAAAAAATTAAACTTTTAATGTTGACCTTCTTCATTTTGGGGTTGAGGTTAATGTAGCTGTAAGTAATGATGAGATGTATGGCTTCATTAGCGATGTCCTCGTCTGGAGATTCCATCGCGATCCTCCAGATGAAGTCCATGCCAGCCAGATCCAATCGCTCCACGCACTGAGAGAGACAATCATATTTTTTCACCCGTCAAGATGGGATTTCCCCACCAATTTCACTGAGGAAAAGCTGGAATCTCATACCAGTTGTGTTCCCTGCCGTTTGAGACGGTGGTCACTGAGGTTCACATTCTCAAAAAAGGTCTTGAAGAGGTTAAACCCTGTAAAACATTGACGAAAGACCACAGAAAACTCACACACTCATAGTTCCACTTTATGCAACTTCACCACATGCTGCTAACAAGGCCATTTCTTTCTGTGAGGGTAAATTTAGCACAGTAAGCGCAGTGGTTTCCTGCAGTACAGAAGACATGTAATACCTCAGGGTGTTATAATGTGGAAATACTGTGGAAGCACTGAGTGAACTCTGTGGTTGAACTTTTACCATTCATAGTGATCTCATAAGGCTCCAGCTTGAGGACCTTCTCTTTAAAGAGCTGCTGTTGAACATCACTCTCTAGATCATGCTGTCCCTTAGTGAACCATTCGAAACACATCTAGAGCAGAGTTGAACACCATCAAAACTACTACATAGTTTGTCGCAATACCAAAATTTCAGCATTTTTTTTTTGTTGAGTATTTGCAACACCAATTTCTACACCACAGAACAGAAAAGTCATTAAACACACTATATTTAACAAGTTAGTGAATATAACAAATAACAAAATGCCATTTAGTCTTTAACCTGACGCTTTTCTTTCAAGCACCATGATTAAACAGCATGATTAAAATTAAAACAAACAAACAAAACACCAAAACAAAATAAAACAAATAACAAGCAAAAAAGACAAAACAAACAAGCAAAGCAAAAAAAAAAACAAACAAAAAAAAAACATAAAACAACACGACACCTCTCGATCCAGCTCGCACACATCCATGCCAGAGACCAAGCATTCCCAGATCTCTTTGGCTCTATTCCAGACCAGGTACAGACTGGCCTCTTGCAGGAAGAATGCAAGGAACTTCAAGTGACTCTCCAAATACTGGAAAAAATGTGACAACAACAATAACAACAACAACATCAGATAGATAAATAAAAACCAACTACTCTGTTTTCATTATTACCAAATGTGAGGCATAACATGAGTCACTTCTGTAGTCTACAAATATATTTTTGTCCTGTGCTAATTTTTGGGTCAAACAACAATTTGATTAATCTTTAAACCAGAGGAAATTAATAGACTTTGTTTACACTATCTTACTTAACCAGAAACTCGACCGCCTTTTTGGAACGATAACACAATTAACAACAAAACCTATGTAATATGTTGTAGATGACTAAAAGTATGCATATTGTATTTGCTACATGTTTGTGTACCGCTGGAAAAAAAAGGAAAATAAATGAATATCATATTTTATTATTATTATAATGTCAAGGTTCATAGTAGTTTTTTTTTTTTAAATAATAATCAAATATTTTATCTAATCAAACTTAGATTTGCACTGTTACACATTTTTTTGAAATTCAGCTTTTTTTTCACACCTTAATAACTGTTATTGGCAAATCTATTTTCAACTGAGCTTTAATTCGTCAAATCACAAAGAGATATTGAACTTGTGACAACACACCTCCTGATAGGAGTACCGCCCATCAACCAGTGTGGACCCAGAAAGACCATTGGATCCAGCGACAGACACGGCCAAGCGATGACATGACACCAGAGAGCCTGTGATCAGCTTCACTATCTCAAAGTTCTTCTTCAGGTCCTGGATTATACTCTAGAGGACACGACAAAGTATAATCCAAAGCCATTTAAAAGCATGAAAAATTAGGCTTATAGTTTAAGTAGTACCACTTGCAGGAAAAAAATGAACAGGCCAGATGGTCCGTCTGGACACCGTCTGCACCTACCTTGTCCTGTTTCTGGTAGGTCTGTTTGATAAAAGACCGCGTAATCTCGTGAAGCTGCCGCAAGGCTGGAACCACCCACACCGTCTGAGGGTTAGTCTGCTGAGACGACTACAATACAAGCACAAACACACAGATATAAACACACAGTGACATCAACCATAATACACACTGTGCATTCATGGAATACAGTAATCTCCATCTGGGTCAATGACGTATAAGTATGCCCACAACTTCCATTCAATGTAATGACTCTAAAAAGGTCATGTGGTATAACCATCAAGTAAAAAAAAATACTAATAAAATATAACAATAATAATAAGATAATAAACTAAAAGTAAAAAAAAAAGTTTTTCAAATGTTCCAAATTTAAAAAATTTACTGAATTATAAATGTAAGTTTTTGAGGAGTCGCACCACATGACATTTTACAATCTGAACTAACCTTGTCTTGTCATAAAATGGTCAAATTATCATATATTTTGAGAGACTTATTGACCTTAAGTCATGAGGGTCTGGGGTCCTCTCTATGATATTTCATTTTGAAACATTTTTTTCTTTATGTTGGATGCACCACCACATGACTGTCTTCTTTTAATGAGGCTTTTTTTCTTTATTGTGATATCAGGACAGTTGTATCTCCCTGACATTTTTTACTTTATAAGCCCCCCAAAAATGCCTTCTAATTCAGAAAGAGGCAAATTCAAGTTATTATATGTGTGACCCACATTTTTATTTATTTGTTTTTAATTAACAGATCAAAGAAATTATCATTACACAATTGACCCATCAAACAACCCAGGTTTTGGTTAGAGTCTTAAATAGTCCACAACAGATTGAAGTCAATAGTCAAAAAGTCATTAGCTGATATTTGGACGTGAAGATCAAACCCTCAGAAGTGCCCTTTGTAAATCACACATATCTTAACAGTCCTTCCCCGTGAATCAAGTGGCAATCATCAGTTTGCAAATCAAATTCTGTTCATGTGAGATTCAGGCTGAGTTATGATTGGTCAGTGTTAAACTAAAGGGGTGGGTCTTCTCTTACTTTAGCCAATGAGCTCGGTTTCTTCTTGCCCCAGGTGCCAGTAAGAAAAGAGACCTGTGTCTCGCTGGGAGACTTTGAATCCTCCTGTATTTGCATCTAAAGACATAAACTTGAGTTGTATTCAGTGAGCGCCACTAAGAGTTTATGCGGCAGACGCTGCACCCAAATCACACCAGAGGCTGAAGCGCAAAGATTGAGCAAAGTGAATGTCTGTCTGTGTGTGTGTGAGATGAGGCAAGCTGAAACTAGACTGCCAAAAATATACATCTAGAGCCAGAGACAGAACAACACCTTTATACTCCCAGATCAGCTCTTAAAATAGCCCACTGCACAGATTCTAGCCTGAGAGAGAAGCCAGGAAGCTCGAAAATGTGTGTCATTGCGTTGCTGTGTGACTATGTATGCATATTTTGTGTTTATGGTCCATAATCTTCTGAATATGGATCTTCAGGAAGGAGCACAAAGCAGATGGAGTAGCACAGGAGATGTGTGTGAGAGTGAGGGACCCTCACTCCAATTTAGACCACCAGAAGCAAGCCAGACAGTGACTTTCCATAATGACAGAACGACAAATAATAGTGACATCATAAAAAAAGAAACATATTCATGTTAGTTATTTATCTAAATCCATTCATACACTAGAGGTGAAGAGTGCAATAGTCTTTGGAGTTTGTGGTATTATGGGAATTATGATATGAGCTCACCTTCTTGATATCTTCGATGCATTTGATGATGTAGTTCCTCTTGATGGTTTCTTTGACAGCGTATGCGTCGCTGAGGATGGTGAGATGTTCTTCCAGGGCCTGCTGTACTAGAGTGGTAGGAAGGGTGGGGAGATGCGCCAACTCCCACAATACCTCCAACACCTGAATCACAAGCCACAATCACAAGGCTGCATTTATTTGATTAAAAATACAGTAAAAAAAAAAGCTATATTGTGCAATATTATTACAATTTAAAATATTTGAAAATATTTTGTCATTTACTCCTGTGATGCAAAGCTGAATTTTCAGCATCATTTCTCCAGTCTTCAGTGTCACACGGTCCTTCAGAAATCTTTCTAATATTCTGATTTGCTGCTCAAGAAACATTTCTTATGACTATTAATGTTGAGAAACAGTTGTGCTGGCTAATAACTGTAATATGTTTTGTTCAGGATCCTTTGATTAAAAGAAAGTTTATAAAAATAGCATTTGAAATATATTTTTTTGCATTGTTACTGATTAAAAGTATTAATTTCAGGAAAAAAAATCATATAAAGGAAGTGTAGGTGTTAGCATATTAAATGGTAAATAGCACATTAAAATCTGCTGTCAAATATAGAAAATAACCTGAATGAAGTTTAACCAGAGCACCTTCAAGTGGCATGTGAAAGTAAAGAAATATATAGATTGTATTATATAATTCTTATATGAAATATTAAACAAAAAAATAACAACAACAACAATATTATTATATAATTACTCTGTGTTCTAAAATGATCTAATATAATAATTAGGTGGTTTGAGTTTCAAAAAATAGTGTGAATCAAATATTTAAATATTAAAGTATTTAAATATTCTAAATATTATATTCATGTATTCAGTATTTGTTTACAGATACATTTTATATTTATATTCCTCATGCATTTTATGATTTAATGTAAATAAATGACCTCTTAACGTTAAATAGTTAATTGCAATTATTTGTCTCCCAATTATTCGACAATGACTATTTGACAGCCATCCAATTATTTCAGTAAACAAACAAAAATACATTACAGTTCAAACTTTCACCAGCTTCAACAATTCTACATTAATCACTGGCTGTCACATTTCAGCACTGTAGCCTATTAGCAGCTAAATGGGTCCAAAGCCCAACTTTCAGTTCAGTTTTAGTTGAGAGTCAGAAATGCACATACAGTTTCGTGACGGCACATACCTTTCCTGTGGTCGCCTCAGAGCGAGCCTCCCTGCCGATCCGTCCAATCAGACTCAGAAGCTTCTGTCTCACACGATCACTCTCAACCTCCCAGCTCTGAAAACACACAAGGCACAGTCAGAAACACAGCTCATAAAGATGAAAGAGTCTGAGATGGATGGTGGACAAGACCTTCTGTATGAGGACGAAGAGGTGGCTGAGCTGGTCAAAGTTGAACTTGACGGCAGCAGCAGCGATGATGGTGTGGATGTTCTCAATCACAGTGGAGGACTGACCAGCCTGCACACAAAACATCCTTCGTCAACATGTTGCACGTATAAACAAATTATAGAAACTTAATTTAAATTTTAATTTAAACTTATTTTATTATAATATAATAATAAGGCAGGCTAACCATGCCAGTTATTGCATTACTGTTATTTTTAGTGAAAAAAAAAAAAGGATTTATTTTGATAACTTTTAATATGCTCAGCTGAGATCACAAAAAGAAATAAGTGATCTTGAGACAAGACGACATAAAAAAACAATAATGCACAACCTCAGTGGGCTTCCAAATCTTTGGGAACTGTCATTATTTTTGCAAATCAGGCTAGTGCCGCTTTGAACTCAAAATCCTTGTACTGTTATAGGATGCAGTCCTTGTCTTGTGAATTAATCTCAAGATTGTTCACAGCTTCATTTCCATTCTGAAAATCAATGGCCATGTGGATGGACGCCAATTGAAATTCTTTCTATTAATTTAGTTCTTATTCAAATGTCTCAAGACATTTGAGAGCTTTCTGTGCAGTATATTTCTCAGAAACAATGTCAGAAATTCATGCAGCTTTGAGGGAGCACTGATTTGAAGACACAGCTCACCTGTATTTTCCATATTTTGGAGAGTTCATCCAATGAGAGCTTACTGCCCAACAGCTCAATGATTCCCTTTATTCTGTCACAGTACTGGGCCTGGTCAATGTTTCCTACAGCACACACACACACACACAGAGAGAGAGAAATATTTTACTTATTTATTTTTAATTAAAAAAAGACTTATTTTCATACAGCACTGGATGCAATTAAAAATACTCTTAAAATAAGAGACTAGCTCCATTACAAACCCATTGATGTAAAAAAAACTCTTAAAAGTTTTTCATCACTTACCATCACATTTACAGACATATAAAAAAATTATATTTTTCCTTTTTTACTCTCAACTTTAGAACTGGTACTTTTATAAACCGAAATTATAGCTTGATTTTTTTTTTTTACTCTTTACAATCTCAGCAACCTTATACTAAAGACTCCCCAAAAAGCATTGAAAAATAATAATAATAAATCCTTATGAACATTAAATACACCAAATAACATCATACATTTATTATAGTTTAAAAAACAGATGGTTTCTCTCAAAAAAAACCAAAAACAAAGGCCATTTAGAAAAATAAGAGAAAGAAACAGAGCACAAGTGAAAGACAAAGGCACAAAAAATGAAAGTAAAACAAAAAGAAAGCAAAAGGAAGAGTGCAAAGAGAAAGTTAAACCAAACAAAGGCATTAAAGTGAAAGAGAGGAGCAAAAGAGAAAGTGAAGGGGGAAAAGAGAAAGTTTCAAGAGAAATGCAAACAGAACAAAGAGAGAAAGGATAATGAGGCGTGTCGAATAAAGACAACTGAATAAAGAGATGACACAAATGAGTGGGTGAGGTGAAAAGGCTTCAGGCACAAAGCAACAGTTTGAGATTCTGGTTTCTGAACACTTTAACACATAGATGATTCGCTCAGTGTGAAAGTGTGAGTGTCCACATGCACTGCCTTCAGTTTCCAGTCTGAAAATACCAATAGATTTGTCATTGTTTTTTTTCATTCAAAACTGGTTTTTATTTAGTTATCATCTCGTTTTCGTCAGTGAAAAATGTTTGATGAAAATTATGATAAAAAATTATTTGTCCATAAAATTAACATTGATTCTAAGTACACACTGTTGTCTTACCGTCTCCCGCTTTAAATGCTCAACTGCACTGTTTTAATGCTAAATTATGTCCACATTTTAATCTGTTCTTCAGTATCATTGATATATTATAGTTTTCGTTTCTAGTCTATCTATCTATCTATCTATCTATCTATAGTTAACATAGGGCTGGGCGATATAGCTAAAAATGTTATCAACGATATAATGTTTCATATCGTTCGGTATCGATAATTATTGACATTTTTATTGACGTTTTTATACAACCTTTTTTAAAACAAAAAGCAATAGAAATAAAATGTTTAAATTTAAACACTGTATTTATAATTAACACAATTTATTGAGACAAAACAAATATTTTAGTTTTAACAATCAAACACAATAAAAATTAAACAAATATCTCATTTCTAATGTTTTATATGCAGATTAAATAGGTCTTTATTGTATAGGTCGAATTGTCTCCCGGACGTGTTTTCCAAAAGTTTAAACTGTTTTAACTTTGCATGGCTTTCTATACGTCTCTTGTGAGACGCGAGTGCAGGAGTCATATTTGTCCGTCTAGAAAATGCGCTGAATATGCGTTCTGTGTGAATGGCTTGTTTTCGGTTTTAACCTAATCAAGATCTTCTCCGCATTGAGCTTCTATATTTCTCTAATATTTTGAATGAATAACGCAGCAGCGGCGCGTCTCGTGGGCTAGACTAACAAAACATTAAAATGCAACAACGTCACATACATCACCGCATCTCGCGCGCCACTGATGACATACCCTGATGCACACCTAACATTCAAATGCAAATGTTTATTTTAAATTCGACTAATATTCATTCTGTATTCACAATCTCCTCAGATGACGCTCCCTGACGCACTCCTAACATTCAAATGCAAATGTTTATTTTAAATTCGACTAATATTCGACAGGCACAGCACTCATTTCAGCATGTGTTCATGTTTGTGTGTGCTGTCTGCGTCACTCATAGTACGTGCCTATATCGTGCGCTATATCGAACATTTTTTCTATCGATATCGAAGGTGTACCGTCGATAAATATCGATACCGTTTTATCGCCCAGGCCTAAGTTAACATTTCTTAAATTTCAAGTAACAAAAATATTTTCTATGGTTTTAGTTAACGATAATAACTCTGAATTTTATCTCAGAAAAAAATCTGTTTTCTGTATTATTTCCCATGTATGGCCTGTACGGTAAACCGATATTAAAGTAGACGATTAGCAGATCCAATATGAGTTAGATATGAAACTGAATGTTCATATGTTTAGGGACCGTCTTACCTTCCAAAGCTATTGACAGTACTGAGTTTTCTACCAGCCAGTCCAGGAGTCGGTCTGTGTCGATGGCGTTCTTCACAGTCTTGGAAACTGTGCTTTCCTCAATGAGTTTCGTGACCTATCACAACACAAAGCCGTCAACTTGAAGAAAGACCTCAGGCGTGAACTTTAAGCTCCAGAGCACTAATATGTGGAAAGGAATTTGAACCTCTTTGAGGGAGTTCATTTTGGCACTGAAGTGGGGCGTCTTGAGCATTCGGAGAAGGATGTCCAGCCGAAGGTCATCCACGATGTTCACCAGCTCCCGCTGGAAACGCATGCAGAGGAGCTTAATGGCCGACAAGAGCTCTGGAATACTCACCAAACGCTTTAGAGAGAAAGAGACGTACACCGGTGAGTCAAAGTCTCTCAAACGTTACAGAAATTTTAAACAGGATGACTTTTCAATAATTTAAAGCATGGGACTGTACTTCAACATACCAATGCAAATAAACAACACTTAAATTTTGCAAATCATTTTCACTCTGAGGATTATGTAAATTTTTGTCTCTCTCTGAAGAAAAAAAAAATCCCTGAATGAAACAAAATGCACTTTCATTTATGAGGGTAAAAAAAACACTGGTGTGTAATTTGTGTGACAAAATCTTTTTTGAAAGGTTTCTCAGACTAAATTCTCACACTATAAAACTAAAACGAATGAAGAAATGCATGCACCTGCCTTACCTTGTCTTTCAGGTCTTTCTCCTCCAGGTTCTGCACATATGTTATCATCTTATGGATGACTGGGTCCAGCATGGGCTACAAAATACAACAACCACTTCAAGCTGAAGGTCACATTGCAGAGTGTCCTTGAAATTTCTCTTGTAACCACAGTTCAAAAACATGTTGATTTAAATGTATTCTTTATGATTCAATATCATTTTGCCATTTACACCAGGTAAGTCTGACTATACATAGAAGATATCTAAGGTTCTACTATACGTGATAGGAAAGTATGGAATAATGTATAGTCAGCTGGTTATTGGAGCAAGATAAACCCATAGAGGGTGATCAAGAGCCCAGAGTTGAGAGGATGTTAACACGCTACCTTCCAAATAAGTAAATAAACGGACATGAAATGTTGATTTAAACTTGAATAATTTTATGATATGAAAATAATGTAATCCATCAGTCTGTAATGTAATCTATCGGCTTTCTCAGATTTCTGAGAGGGTATTTTTAAACAAATTGGTGTCTTGAACACCTAACTTATCTAAATTTAAAAAAAAAATGTTTTACTAGTTTACCTAGATAAGAATAAATTCAAAATTATTGAAATAAACTTGTCAGCCTAATTAACGGACTTGACTCCAGAACTTCTGACCAATCAGAATCGAGTATTCCAGGGTGAGAACAGATGAGCTGTGAAAACACTCACCTGCACCAGGCTGGAGTTGAGGTATTCTGCACACATGCCGAGCGGCTGAACCAGAGCTGATACACACTGAGGAAACACACATATACACATGTACATTCTACTATGAATGTAACCTCAGAAACAAATCAGTAATCAAAAAAATACATCATTTTTCCCTGCTAAAAGCAAAATGTTTGTCTAAGCTGGAGACATGACACAGCAACAAAGGGTAAGCAAACTCTTAAAGGAACAGCTTGACAAGAAATGAAAATTCTGTCATGATTACTCACCAGCAAATAGTTTCAAACCTGTATGACTAACTTCCGGCAGTGGCATAAAAACAATTTCTGTGGATCAAGTGCTGCTGTATGACAAAGTGCAATGAGAAGATTCTTTACATTTTCAGCATACAGGTTTGGAATGACATGAGGGTCAATGCATGAGCAAATGATGACAGAATTTTCATTTTTAGGTAAACATTTCTTTAATGGCCAAATAGAGGAACCTGATTAAACAGTAAACCATAACTACAAAATCAGGGATTTTATACAACATTCACACAACATCTCTCAGCTGGCATACATCTCTTTAGAGATATATGCCAGCACAGATGAATCACTCCTCTGTTCAGCATCAAATGACTTCTCATCCATTGGAGAGAGTGAATGAATCAGTCCAGTCAGTGGAGGAGAGGAGACGGCATCCATCTCTTGTTTTCTCGCTTTAATTGACTCTTTCCCTCACTACAAATTAAATGGTTACTGTAGAAGGGCATCCCTTTATGTTTGAGATTAAAACATCCTTCCTTTACGTGGCCACAGCAGGTTGTATGTGTCCCTGAAAAGAATTCCTATCCTTACACTCGCCTCCAACTTCCTGTTCCTGTGTTAAGGCCATTAATATGCAAATCCTAAATCAAAGCATCTTTTCCCTGTCGCCAGCTCCATCTCTCAGCCCTGGCACCCAGATCATGCTAATGCCCACTTTCAAAAGACAAGCGGGCGGAACCAAAAACAAGGCGACTTCACAGCTCCGAGACAAGAGGGAGCATTTACACGCTCGCACTAAAGGGGGAGCAGACACATCGTCTGTTAAAAATAATGAAGCCGTCAAACACTCAGTGGTTTAGATGAAAATAATATTAAAGGCGCCTTTTACCCCAGGGAGCCTTTAGTGCCTACTCTATAAAAATTTTTTTTTTTTTTTTTTAAATACAGTATCTATCAGATGAGATTAGGAACATTTCTGAGGTTTTTTTTTACAAACAAACAAACAAACAAAAACATCAACACTGATGGTAGTAAACTTTAAACGAGGGCTGTCGCGGTGAAGGAATTTCCCCTTGCGGTAAATTTGAGTGGCTCAACTGCGCAATATGCAGTATTATCACCATATACATACATGCATACATACATACATATACATATATATATATTAGGGATGTGCGGGTCTAGTCGACTAAACGGTACAGCTCCTACTAGTCGACACTGAAAACAATAGTCGATTACACGACAAAAAAAAAAACAAAACCATGATTTTATCATTCAAATTACCATCTTAACATTGCATTTAAAACATTTTAAATAACAAGTTAAAATAAAACGTTTGAAAAATAATACATTATTTTAAAAAGTTTATCTGGGCGAAAACTACATTTTTACCTCAGACCCCACATGCGTTTTCTTCGTGTCAGTTGCAGCGAGTTCAAAAATGACCATGCGAAAGACGAGAAGGTGTGGGATTATTCTGAATTAGAAGGAAACTGAAAAGGTTTGTGTAAACTGTGTAATGTCACACATATATATATATATATATATATATATATATACACTGTATATATACACACGTAAATATTTTTAATATATATATACATGTATGTTTGTGTATTTATATATACATAATAAATATACACATTTATTATGTAAACATATATTATGTAAACAAAAAACTTTTATTTTGGATGTGATTAATCGCGATTAATCGTTTTACAGCACTATACATACAGCATATATACAGCACATATGTAAGTTCTGATCTTTGGCGGCAAGGGACTGTCTTTAAACCGTTCATTCAACTACACATTCAAAAATGCTGATTCATTCAAAGAGAGTTGTAATTAAACACGCTGTTGAAATCATTTGAACTTTGAGCGCCACTTTAGAAGGCTCAGCTGACCAGCAATGCGTCAATGCTAAGATTTCGCTTTACTTGGACATGACGACCTATATTCACAGATATATATGACTCAGCCTGAAGGACAGACGCAGGTAATTGCATGCACTCAGTCGATCTCTCTCTCATTCATTGTCTGTTTAGGCTTGTTAAGTGCAAATCTACGGTGCCTCTGTACAAATCAGCATGGTACACATTGTGTTATCATTGCTAACTTATTTAATATTCAGTACACATGCACAGTGCAAAACCAGAAGGGTGTAACGCCCGAGGGGCTGAAATGCAGGGCTCTAGCTCTGATCTGGCACACAGAAAACGATTTGACTGAAAATTTATCAGAAGAGATGAAAGAAAGATTGTGGTCATCTGCGCAATTCGGAAAAAGAGGCGGCTTTTCTGCATTAGATATGTTTTTTTTTTTCTTTCTTTCTTTTACTCTTTGTACAGCAGTTATTGATCGTTCTAAATGAATTGTTTAATGTAGAATATGTGTTACATAAAAACTTGAAATGTAGAACATATAAAAAAGTGCTCGTGGCTCGTCTGCCAGTGGGTGCCCCCCCACGCATAAAAGTGAAACTCCGCCTATGATTGTGCTGTTACTCCTTTCGAGCCGAATTTCACAAAATTGGGTGTTATTTATGGGGAGTAGAATTATTTATTTATTTCAATGAATGTAATCGATTAAATATCATAATATTTAGGCTATAATATTAAATCAGGTTGGTTTGTATTGCTGACGTAATATGTAAATGATATGCGTGCGGCCCGCGAGACTTGCACTTGGACCATAGTGCGGCCCGGTGGAAAAAAAGGTTGAGAACCACTGGTGTAACCTTACGAAAAAATAATGCGGTTGCTGCGGTTCTTGTGTTCCTCTGACTCGTCAATATTATTGCGGTTTTATTGCGGTTATCGCAACACCCCTACTTTAAACCAAAACAAAAAATCGAAGTAAAGCAAACAAAAAACAAAATACAAAACAAAAACCAAACCACAAAGCCAAAACACAAAACCCAAACCAAACAAAAACATGACGTAACAGACAAATATGTTTAACCAAAAAAAAAAAACGGAATTTGTTTTTAGATGTTCTAGCACATCTAGTTTATCTAAATAAAAAAAGAAAGAAAAAAAAAGATTTTTACTAGTTTATCCAGATGAAAAAAAAAAAGATCTAAATAATCTAGATAAATGTGTTTATCTAATAGGTTGTTTGCACATGACGCATGGCGCGAAATGCAGCTGGAGGGCAGGAAGTGATTTTTCTATATAGGAATCGCTAGCAGAAACTCAAAATGCCTATGTTTTGCATTGTTTATGGATGGAAATATATAAATAGATACAGGGCTGCCAACTCTCACGCATTCAGCATGAGACAGTCAGAATTCACTCAATGCTAAACTCCACACGTAGACACGATGTAAATAAGATATTATAAAAAAAAAAAAAGATCTAAATAATCTAGATAAATGTGTTTATCTAATAGGTTGTTTGCACATGACGCATGGCGCGAAATGCAGCTGGAGGGCAAGAAGTGATTTTTCTATATAGGAATCGCTAGCAGAAACTCAAAATGCCTATGTTTTGCATTGTTTATGGATGCTCAAATCGGCCAAACCACAAGGAGCTTGTATCGTGTACGAAAATTTGTTGTTCATAAGGAGGGAAAAGGCAAGAAATTGACTGAAAAATGCAGGAAAATGTGGCTGAGTCTGCGGTCGGGAGGAGCCGAGTGGGATAATGCTTGTGTGTGCAAATGGTTAATATAAGATATAATAATATGTTAAGATATTAATAAAGAAATATATAAATAGATAGAGGGTTGCCAACTCTCACGCATTCAGCATGAGACAGTCAGAATTCACTCAATGCTAAACTCCACACGTAGACACGATGTAAATAAGATATTATAAGTGCAGTTTAGAGAGCTTCATTGATTATAACGGAACATTGTGAGATTGCGATAAATTGAAGTGAGTGACAGCTTTTTAGTGATTATATGGAAGCGCTATTTGCTCGCTTTCTAGGCTATAATCAATTCAGAATTTGAATAAAAGTTTTGTTTTACATGCTGCTAACAGGACCAGCGGCCACATACCCTGTACATGCAGCATGTACTCATATAAATGCGGTATTCACTTTCGAAATAGCTTGTTTGCAATCAGGGTTAGTTCAGGTAAGCAATTGCTTAGCCTGGAAATTGAAGTATTTCAATTTAGTTGAAAAATCGCTCCTTTTCATAACATAAGGATCACGTCCAACATGTGTTGTGATTTTCTGTTTATACCTTTCTCTTGTAATAGTGTCTAAACCAGTACAGTACGGACTTTCCTCCATCTCATCCATTCTGCTTTTCACTTCCTGCCCTCCATCTGAATTTCGCGCGTCATCAGAATCACGTGATTGCAAACAAGCTATTGACTCACAATCAACTTGTGTTCCATCCCGTCTATCTGTCTGTCCCTATAAAACATTAGTTGGTGTTTGAGAGCTGTGTGGTAGAATTTTTTGCCATTATCCCACTAAACTCAATTTTTTATATTTTTCAGACAAGCGTACCACCTCAGAGGGCTTGATGAGAAATAGCGTTTAAAAGAATATCTTAATAACTGTCCTGAATGCTCTTTTTTTCCAGCCATATGAATGTGGCATCTCATGTTCTCTCATCCCCCTGCTCTCGTCTCTTTCTCACTGTCTGCTGTGAGTAGGATGCTCTCCGTGATGGTGATAAACATCCTGAGCTCTTTAGCACACATGCTATAATAGAATCTGCTCTCGTTCAGCTCGCTCTCTCTCTCTTCATCTCAGTCATTCTGCCTCTTTTCATCCAGACACCCATACTTTGATGGATTATCCATGAATTATCCATTCATTTCTTTGCAATTCCATTAAGATGCTAACAGGTCTCTCAACCCAAAGATAGCCAGTCCTGCTTATATCTGGGACATCTAAAGTTGCAGCCTGTACCGAGTGTGCAACCAACAGCTCTTTTATATTTAAGGTGTGGTACAAGGTTATTATTTAGCGTTTTCAAATTTGTTTTAATTTGAAACCCTTTTTTTCAAAGTTTCCATTTTCTTTACATCACAATTTCGTTTTAGTCCATTTCAGTAGAAATGCTAAGAAATAATTTGAGGAAATAACAGAACATTGGCAGAGTTTACATTTACATCTACACTAAACAAGCTTTGAGGAAAGAAGCCGCATGCGTTTACACAGAAATCACAATTACAGGAAACAACGTTTTAGCTCAGTAATTTCGGTTGCTTGATTCTCAACTAAATATAATTATGTCGCATTCACTTCACAAGGGATGCACCAAAATTTGGGCTGACACAGATAAGCCAATAATTATAATTATTATAATATCAACAATAATTGTCATATTTTTATTGGCCTTGGACATATGCAATAAATAACGATTTCACTTTACATCACTAACATTTAAAGACATCCAGAGTTCACAGTCTTACCCCAATCTCCATCTCGTCCTGGTTGAGCTTGCACTGAATTGCTGTGAAGCCTCCCATCTCTCCAAACTGCAAATATAAGCCAGAGACATATTCAGAGTCATCGAACACCACATAGATCTGTCTAATGTCAGGTAATATATTATAATATAACTCCTTCTATCAGTGTGTGTTTCTTAAGTTCTTACCCGATTCACCAAGTCCACCAGCCAGCCGTGAGGTTCCTGGTCCAATCAGAACACAAAACATAACGTAGTAAAACGAACATAACGTAGCAAAACAACGTAGTTTCTTTGCAAGTTATATCATTTTATCTTAAGAGAATATACTATACTTCATGGTGTAAAACTCAATTACTTAAACATAAATGACTCCTTATTGCTGTGCAGTTAACAAGTTTCTTAGTTGCAAAAATACACGAACAGACATAGTTTTTGCCATCAAAAAGTACAATTTCTTAATCATAAACTTCCTGACTCTTTCATTCACTATCTTCCCATCAAACATGGACACTTTTGAAAAGGGCCTTCTAGAGGAAAAAGAGAAAAGAAAATTCCACTATTTTGCTGAAAACGTGTGTTGGAATCTTCAAAACCAGTTTTTTCTGTCCTTTAGCAAGGACTGTCAAGTCAACTGTCAAGCCAAAAGCACACGTACGCACCCACACATGTACATTTGCAGTACCTTCTGGTAGCTGGAGCTGGGAGAAACAGCGAACATGCTGTCCTCTCCAAACACTTCTGCCCAGTTCCTCTGACAGGCCTTCATCCGATTCTTAAAGTGATACTCATTATCAGGGTTAAAAGCCTGTCAATACAAAAGTACAGGGAAACAAGTTAAGCCCAGGATGGTCTGACATAGGTCCATGTTCACAATATATTTGCAGTGAATTTGTTCGTAATATGAAATTACGCAACTCTCATAAGATTGATAGATAACCCAAGTTGAGTTTCTTCCTTCTGTTGAACACAAAAGAAGATATTTTGAAGAATGCTGGTAACAAAACAATTTCTGGTCAGCTGTTATTATTTTTTCCATACTATGGAAGTCAATGGCTACTGACAACTGTCTATTCCCCAACATTCTTCAGAATCTTCTTCTGTGTTACCAATATTCAGAAGAAAGAAACACACACACACACTCGTGTATATATATGTAAATATTGCATAGTATACATTTAACATTTATGTATTATGTATTGCATTAAAAATAACATTTATGCATACAACACAAGTGATATTAATTATATGAAATAAATAAATAATTACTTGCTTCATATAAATTGATTAATATATTTAATTTAACAAGAAATCCATTAAATATAATTATTTGGTGAAAATTTTGTGACAAACTTATTTTTACTAAAATATTACTAGAATATTTATCTAGAACTATTTTAGATACACTTTTACAACATTTTCTATACTTTTTTTAATTCCTATTTTCCTATACTTCCTTCCTTGGTGTATTTTACTTCTTACATTAAAGTTTATGAATCTACTTGGCTACAATAACTGTTTGGTTAAAATGTTCATTTGCTAAAAATGTTAATTTCTGATAAAAAAAAATATATAAATGTTAATATTATAAAGATCGAAGGGAAAACACATAAGGAATATTGCCAAAAAGATATATATTTTTTGTTGCATCATCCAGTCTTAGTCAGATGTTTTGTAGAAGCTAACCACAGTAACTAGTATGTAATAGCAAAAGGGTGTGTGTACCATAGTGAGAACTCCCATGAGGCCGATGGGTATCGGATCCTGTTTGACTCTCTCCGCGACCAGATCCACCAGCAGCATTAGCATGTTGTAGATGCCCTCATGAATCTCGGTTCCCCACTTGTGCACCGCACTGGACGTCAGCAACTACAACACCATTTAACACCTTCATTTTTAATCTTACCACATCTCACCATTTCTAACAACTTATTACAAACTCCTGAGAGCTTTTGTGTTTACATGTCTGCTTATTCAAACACACACACACACACACCTTTTTGAAGGCTTCAGGCATGCAACGGTCAACAAATCTCTTACAGTTCTCATCTGCATCAGCCAGGCCTACAGTGAGGAAAAGAGATTTCAGATGTGACATTTTTTTCTACAGAACACAAATATCCAGACATGTACATAAAAAAAGCCAGAAGAACTCACCCAGTCTGGCCAGGCAGGTGGAGGCGATGAGGCACTTGCCGAGAGATTCCTCTCTCTTGTACGGGATGGACCAGTGATCAGTGAACACTCTGCTCTCCAGCTCATACAGATTAGTGGTGGGGAACTCCATACTGTTCCCAGAACAGTTTCCGTTCTCATCATTACTCCTCTATAAGAGACAGAAAGACAGAGATGTGTCACAATATGAAGATTTGTGGTTACTAATTTTTCATGTATTACAGGCTCTTAAAGGGGTCCTATTATGCTCTTTTACAAAGTCTTGATTTTGTTTTGGGGGTGTACTAGAACAGGCTCTCATACTAGGTTGTTCGAAAAACACATAATTTGTCACATATTTTACATTATTACAACACCTCTCTCCTCAGTCTGGCATGAACGGCTCGAATAGTTCCTGTATCAAATGAAGGCCTGCCTTCTGAAATACGAAATGTGCTGTGATTGGTTAGCTGGGCCAGTGTGTGCTGTGATTGGTTAGCTGGGCCAGTGTGTGCTGTGATTGGTTAGCTGGGCCAGTGTGTGTTGTGATTGGTTAGCTGGGCCAGTGTGTGTTGTGATTGGTTAGCTGGGCCAGTGTGTGCTGTGATTGGTTAGCTGGGCCAGTGTGTGCTGTGATTGGTTAGCTGGGCCAGTGTGTGCTGTGATTGGTTAGCTGGGCCAGTGTGTGCTGTGATTGGTTAGCTGGGCCAGTGTGTGCTGTGATTGGTTAGCTGGGCCAGTGTGTGCTGTGATTGGTTAGCTGGGCCAGTGTGTGCTGTGACTGGTTAGCTGGGCCAGTGTGTGCTGTGACTGGTTAGCTGGGCCAGTGTGTGCTGTGACTGGTTAGCTGGGCCAGTGTGTGCTGTGATTGGTTAGCTGGGCCAGTGTGTGCTGTGATTGGTTAGCTGGGCCAGTGTGAACTGGACTTTGAGCTTTGTAACTTTGCAGACCTTTTTTATGCTCAAACAGCAACATTACAGACTAACTAAAGTTGAAAAAGTGAAAAAGCATAATAGGACCCCTTTAAAGCTTTTACATCAGTTTGGGGCCAGGGTCTCTTAAGTTCAGCAAGGCTACATTCGTTATTTCTGATCAAAAATATAGTAAAAAAATATAGTAATATTGCCAAACATTATTACAATTTAAAATAACTATTTCTATTTAAATAATGATCAGAATGTAAATGTAATTTATTCCTGTGATGCAAAGCTGAATTTTCAGCATCATTACTCCAGTCTTCAGTGTCACATGATCCTTCAGAAATCATTCTAATATGCTGATTTGGTGCCCAAGAAACATTTCTGATTATTATCAAATAGTTGTGCCGTTTAATATTTTTGTGGAAAGCATGGTATTTTTTTTTCAGGGTTTTTTGATGAATAGAAAGTTTAAAAGAACAACATTTATTTGAAATAGAAAACTTTTCATATATATTTTTTTTCACACACACACACACACACACACACTCTCTCACACATACACACACACACACTCTCAC